CAAAAATAACCACCAATGGACAAATAATCACAAGCAATCTTACCAAAGTAGAAATGGCTCAGATCTAAGCAAATAAAATGTGAAAATAAGAGTAGTTTTAACAAGAATTCTTGCATATAAAGTTGTGTGTATTCTCTTTTTCATAATATTACAAGAATCATTATTTATAGTGTTCCAACCGACGGGACTGTTGGATCAAAACCACGTGGCCTCATCTCGTTTACCAAAACCTCACATCACACTGCTAAACATTAAATACATTGATAAGGAGTTAGCCGCCATATGCTCTAAGCGAACATTCTTGATATTAATTAATACAAACATTACATCAATTAATTTTATAGATACCGTGCAGATCCATTTTAAAGGCAATAAGTGCTTCGATTTTGAGAGAGAGCTTTGGATGTGTTGCTACTTGATCAAAACAGGGAGGGCTTAGGTTCAAGGGGCTTCCGACAAGGATAGTACTTCGGCCAAATAACAACTTGTTCCTTTATTTTTGATCTTTTTGACTGCCAGTTGTCCGTATGTAGTGCCTCCACGTGGCATTGATGTGGCCTTCAGTAAGAGCCTCGAACATGAGGCTAACAATAATCCCCCAAGTTGATGTATGATCATTTATGTAATACATGGACTTTTATGTTGTATTAGAATGAAAAAATAATAATTGTAGGTAAGGTTACTTTTAATACTTATGAAAACAAAATCGTCCATGGTTAGATCAAATATCATGGAGGAAGCCCTTGCACGGAAAGAGCCATCCTTGGCGAAGAAGTACAACGGCCTTGACAAAGACAAGTGTGATGTCTTCCACAAGGAGCCACGCATTGCTCCCTTAGAGATTAACCCCTTCCATGGTTGGACCAAACTCCATGAAGGAAGCCTTAACATGGATGCGTCATCCCCATGTAAAGACGTCATCTTATCACAGCTACTTATGTCCTGAGCATAACCAGTGTTATTTAAGTTCAGAGCATCGCATCTGCTACTTACATCCAAAACTTCGCCTCTACTACTCACATCTAGAGCATCGCCTCAGCTACTTATATCTAGAATCTCATCTCTACACTGGCTTCATCACAGCTATTTTCTTCAGATCATCGCCCTTATCTAAAAGGTCCACGCATTATATGACTATTCATCCATGAATTTGGGGACTATTTTGATACTAGCATCTTAATATCATTACATATTACTGCTAGCACATGTATTGTATTATTGTTGTAAACTACAGATGTCACACATTGCTAGCATGTCATGAGATATGACACTATTTTTATCACAATAAATATGTATACCATGTTATCTTCATTTTTATTTTATTATCAACATCATATTACTTGTTTCAGAATAACAATACTGTTATACTAGCTATGCAAACATATAATTTATTATAATGCTTGACACAATCTCTACACATTATATTTTGGAGAAAATTGATTTGTCATTATTCAATTTATCGTTATGAGTACTTTGAGTGGCAAATGGACCCCAAATTGATTTTGTATATGTGCAGTGGATATATTGTATTGTATTACAAGTTGGTTTAATTCATATTACAGAGAAATGTTGTCGAATTTTTGACAAATTATATGCAACATCTTTCGAGGCAATTTGTAAGTCTTCATTTATTCAAACTCACACAGATATTTTCGAGGTAGTTCATAAATCTTATTTATTGGATCAACTTATACTCTCGAATAAGTCCTTGCCTATTTGGAATATATGCATATTTTCGAGGCAGTTCATAAGTCATTGCATATTGAGCTACTCGTATTTTCTAAGAAAATTTGTAAGAATTAGTCTATTTGAAGCTTATATTTCGAAGTCCGACCAGCACGTGAATATACGACTCAAACTTGGGGACTATTGTTACATTTATAAATTACGTGGCATACGCATGATTGAGAGGGTCTCGTATATATTAATGTGGCGTCAACTATTTAATTGATTTGGCCTGTTTAATTAAATAACTTTGTGTCGGGCTTGAAACTCGGCCCATTAGTCCACTTGACCCATTAATTTCTCTATATATATGTGAATCAATTTCACATAAGGTATATTCATTCTAACCTTAGCCAAATTCCCTCTCTCTCTTGCACTCTCTTTCTCTTGTCCAACAGTTGGCTAGACAGTTGGAATACAAACGATTGCCAGACTTTTTTCTCGACATGCAACCTTTGCCTTCTAACGGGATGTTTAGTGTGCAGGTGAGGTTTACGCAGAGAAAATGACGTTCAAATTCTGTTGACACATTTTTTGGGTCAACAGTTACAATATCTTTGTGTCAATCACGACAAACCTAAATACATTTAAGAGGGTGTTTGAGTCCTATTTTTATTAAAAAAAAATGTATTTTAAAATAGTAGATTGATGAAAAATGTGTAGTTGAAAATAAGAAAAAAAATTTATTTACGTATAGTATTATTTTAATGAATAATGTATAGTTGCAAAGAAGGGAGAAAAATATATTTTGAAAAAAATGATAATTAAACTTGGCTTAATCATAAAATGTTCACATGCGATTGCACAAATTTTAGGAGTATTTTACTACCTCCTCTACAAACCTATGATTTATAATTATAAAATTGGTATTTTACCTATCGGCTTCAATGAAAATTCGCAACAACTAATAAAACTACCGAATTTATGAAAACAATTAAAGAAACGATAAAAGATCAACACAAAATCATAATTGAAATCAAAATTCGAAAACTAAAACTAAACAATTAAATTAGACCACACCATTTGTTTTAACGAGTTTAATCGAGCATGCTCATAGAATACAAATATATAATATTTAAAAATGACATCTCAGTAGTAAAAATTAAGATGAGAACGAAATAAGAATAATAATCCTCGATGTTAACTACATAATTTTCTAACATTCCCTCTTCTTCTTCAAACTCTCAATAAAAGAAATTTGTATTTGGGACTTGTATCTTGATGTATTTTCTAACATTTCTCGATGTTAAAGATATTGTGTGTTTTAAAGGTGTAGGTCTTCAATTTTGTTTCAGTATTAATATCGAGAAAACCCTTAAAAAATCATGCAAATTCAGGTGAACCATGAAAGAGGATTATTATTCTAATTTCATTCTAACCACTAAAACATTTAATTAAAAAAAACTTTTATATCCACATCAATATTAATTTCCTTTAATTTATAGAGATTAAGGGGGGTGTATTCAATTGAGATTTTTAAAGACTTTTGGAGACTTTTTTAAGTGGGTGACTTTTGTGGACTTTGTGAAATTTTAAGTAATTTTTATGGATTTGGTAGGAATTAGTAAAAGTTTTTCCTGGATTTGTGAAGACTTTTACTAAAAACTTTTGAGGATTTTTTTTTTAAAGGAAATATGCTTTTCACAGTGTTAAATGTGAGATATCGAGGAATATTTATGAGAATTCACAACATTCACTTAAAAACGAATCTTTGAAATTAGAGGGTGAGATAGAGATCAATTAGTGAAAATTTACCATAACCTGATTTGAAGAAAACTCATAGCAAAGATTCAAAGAAATACCTAATTGGAAGAGATAGAGAAAAAACCTAGAGGGAAATAAGAATAGCATACTCTTTTTAAAAATCTCTCTATGGATGAGAGATTTTGGGAGAAAAATCCTATTTATATTTTCTATTAAAAAGTTTCTGAAAGTCCAAGAAATTTAAAATTCCCTGAAAGTCCCTTTAAATTGAATACCCAAAAACTTGTAGAGATTTCTAAAAAGTTTCAATTGAATACCGCGTAATTTCTAGAGATTTTTTAAAAGTCTATAAAAGTTTCTATTGAATACACCCAAACTTTTAGAGAGTCTCTAAAAGTTTCAATTGAATACGTCCAAATTTTTTAAATCTCTAAAAGTTTTTAAAAGTCTCGATTAAATACAATCCCCTAAAAGTTCCAGGGGGAATTTGAGAAGGTTAGAAGAGTAATTTGCCAAGCAATAGTACCTACTTATCTGTTTCGCCGAGCAAAGAGCGAATCCCGAATCTCGGGGACCCGAACAACCGATGACGGTGCCAACAGGAGCAGCAATTACCTGGTGCGCGCTCACAGTAATCCTTGTGGTCTCTCTTCTCATCCGTCCGTCCGTCGCTATCTACTGTGATGAGGATGACTGTTACGATCTCTTAGGGTACCGTCCACAATTTCTCCTTTCCCCACAAATCATTCATTTCCTTGCTACAGT